CTCCCGAGTAGCTGGGATTATAGGCACCAGCCACCATGCTTGGCTAATTTTTGTATTTTTAGTAGAGATGGGATTTCACCATGTTGGCCAGGCTGGTCTTGAACTCCTGACCTCTGGTGATCTGCCCACCTCAGCCTCCCAAAGTGCTGGGATTACAGGCGTGAGCCTCCACGAGTGGCTGATTTCTCTGATTTTCTAAGTCTGTTAGAGTCTGTATTTCATGTAACCTTAGTCTTTAGTAATGCCTCATATTTCTCATAAATCACAATTATAGAAATATAAGATATTAAGAATAGAAGGAAATAGAGTTCATTTAGGTCTAAGTCTTCATTTTAAAGATGATGTGATTAGATATAAGGCATGGGTAAAGGTTTTGCTCGAAATCTGACATCAGTTGCAGACACAGGACCCGAATTTAGGACTCTTTTCTCTTAGGCCAAAGTTCTTTCCCTCCATGGATTGTAACATTTTACCCCAATACTAATTTTCTTGGAGGAAGAGATTATGCCTTTTACTTCTTTGTAAATTGAATGAATCCATTTGGAGGATCTAGCTAGAGGCATAACAAGTAAACCTTTTTCCTAATAGGGAAAATAGGTAATGAAATATCAATAAGGCAGCATTTACCTGGATTTCAGTGTTGAGGAGGATTCAGCAGCTATATCTGGATTTAATGGAAAGGAATGCCATGACTGATTAGTGACATCTGCCTTGGGTACAGGAGGAGGAAACACAATACATATGTCAGTGTGTGTATTTTCCTCTGACCAATAGTAAGTCCTCTTAGCCATATGAACCACCTGGAGAGGATAGACATGGAGAAGAGGCGGGGAATATGGATACCTATTCTACCTATTCGGCAACAAGAACAGGAGAATCAATCCTAGCTTCCAATGTGGTGGCATATGCTCCTACCAGATTGTCTCACTGCTAACGTCTTTGTAACCCCTAAAGCAATGGTCATCTAGTAGGCACTCAATTCAATTAAGGACATGTTAATTAATTGAAATTGTGATATAAACCAATGTTTTCACAATAGAATTTTCCATCCTTCTTTGGTAATTCCATATCAGTCAAAGTACTTGGCACTTGGTGCATTAAAATTCCTTGTAGAACAAAAATACAACCTTCAAAGCGGGGCCATGAATCTCTAGATTATGAATACACAATCCCATCTGATATAAAATTTACAATATTGTAACCTGATGATTGTACTGTGTAAGTAGAATACCTTCTATATCTTTGAACCACTCCTTAAAATTGCCCAGAAGACACAAAAGAAAAAGGGGGATTCAGAAAATCTTCCTTTAACTTGTGGGATTTTATGAGTCAAATTGCGGGGAAAATCTGACTCCGTGTAGACTTCCATTTTATATGTCATGCTTCTTCCGTAGGTTCAGCTTGCGTGATGTCAGGAGTTCCAGGAGCCAAAACAGCGTGGGGGGCATGGATCCAATATTGACTCATATTGAATGGAAGAAATCGACACCGAAGTCTGGATGAGATAATTTGGTTGTGAGTGCTAGGATGTGACTGCTGATGACAGAGGAAAAGGGCAACCAAGGTGTAAGTTTTGTCTTTCTGACTACCTACTCGGTTAAGACGGAGGTAGCGACTGAAATCTTGCTGATGTGTCATATATAACCATAGCCAGTTTTCAGAAAAAAAGTTTAGTTGAAAAGAAAAAAGAAAGTTTTCAGCCCCTCTGTTTTAGTAATATGGTCACACTTTGGCTCCTGGTGGCTTTGCAAAACTTTTAAAGTATATCTTGGTGGTGAATTAGTCTGTAGTCTCAGAACTGGCTGAACCAACAAAGTGCGAAACCTCTAGTTTGCATGTGCAAAAAAAGGTGTTTTACAGGCAGAAAAACGAGAGAAATTTCTTTGTTTGCAAAATTGACAAGACAGAAAAAGATCACAAATGGATATACTATTGTAATGATAATGTTCTGAACCAAAAAGTCATATGTTGAAAGATGAAAATCTAATAGCAGATATTTCATGTCCAGCCTGGAATGTAGGACCAGCTATATAGTTTGTGGAAACAAGTGCAAAATGAAAATATGGGCCCTTTGTTAGAAAAGTGATTAGAAACTTCAAGAAAGTGACAGCAGAGCATTAAAGCAAGTGTGGGCTGTTCTAAGTTCAGGCTCTTGACAGACTGCACAGGGTGCAAGCCCATGAAGTTGGTTTTACTGGGATGTTGGAGTTTCAAAAATATATTTCAAAAACAATTTCAAAAAATATTTGCAGTCTTACTCTGTTTTAAGGAATTAAAGTGTGATTACTATCTCACAAATTCTACAGAAAAAAAAAAAACAGAAACAAAAGCCTGATAGAGTGTAATTATTTTAATTCACATATTTAACATAGGGGCACATACAATAATCTCAATGGATATTGACAGATTGGGGGATGGATTGACCAAGGGTTCCATCTTCTTTGGGAACTTCTTGGATTTAGACTCAGTTCTGCATTATCCAGTTGAATGAATTTAAGCACATCGCTTGTTTTTCTGGATTTTGATGTACAAATCTTAAAAGTAAGAGAGTTGACCATAGATAATCTATAATTCCATAATTCGGTGTTTGGCCATGTCATCAAGAGTTACTAGAGCTTGGATTTTAGCCATGTAATTACTATTTGTAAACATATGGCCACACTGTAAACACATTCTTAATATAATCTGTTATTTTGAATAGGTGTTCTCAATTTACAAATGGCTAGACAGCATATCCTTCCCTATTACAGATCTCACCATTCTTAACTCCTTAACCTTAGTACTACATTCTAGTGGATCAATTAACTTTACTCCTTTCCAGAAAGTTGTGAACATTCCTTCCAGTGACTCAGAGGTGGACCATTAGAAGGTATTGAGAGTCTGCAATGTGTCTCAGGCTTCAACCCACATCCCTTTCCTACCTGCAGGCACATTCTCTGGACATAATTTTTCTTGAGCAGAGCAACAGTAGAGCTTTGTGTCCCACAATGTAATTTTTGCATTCTTCACTTGCTTAATATGAGGTTTGTTTCCACATAAATGTTTTGATCTTATTTATTCTTTGGAAAGATTGTCCTTCAAAGAGCTTTCTGGCTTTTTTTTCCCACATAAAATAATATATGAAATTGTCACAGTCAGGAAGTGCTGGCTAAAGAGATATGGCATCATTTTTCTAACATTAATTATAAATATTACTTAATTAAAAAATAGTTTCTTACAGGTTAGGCTTGATAACGTTGGGACTAGAACTTGAAGGCAAATTACTCAAAAGAGATCCTTAGGCAAGCATTTGAATTTACATTTATTTAGCGCTGTTTATGAGAAAATCTCTGTGCTAAATAATTTTAGGGAAGAGAAAGACATCATAAAAGCAATGAAACGATTTTTGATTTTCAGAAACTCAGTCTAATGTGTGAGAAGACACACAAATAACTATCTTCAATACAAGATTGAGGAATCAGAACTCTTAGAAAAGTATAAACCAAGACTTATATAGAAGATGTAAGATTAATTTTAAGGAGGATAATTTTGGGATAACTCAGGGAGATGGGAATTTTGAAGCTGGGCTTGGATGGATGGCTACTACTCTCAGTGACCCAAATGAGAGGAAGAAGAATGCAAGACCAAAGAAACAGCATGAGCAAAGATCCAGGGTATTTTTTTTTTTTTTTAAAAAGAAATGACTAGTCATCCAGTGTTCCAGAATAATAATAAACTTTTATTGAGTGATTACTATATTCCAGGAAAAATTCTTAGCACTTTATGAAGACTATCTGATTTAATTTTTAACTGAAGCATGGATGAAGACACTATTATCAAACCATTCTTACAGATAAGGAGACTGAATCATAGTAGAATTAAGAAGTAACTCACAGTCATATAGCTAAATAGTGGGGGAGCCAGGAATCAAGTCTGCACCCGTAACTGCAATACTTTTATGTACACAGTGCAGGTAGAAATGCGAAGTGGGTTGGAACCAAAGAGCGGAGGACTTTTTGTGCCATCCCAAAGTGTTGTATTTCATAAATAAATTACAAAGGAGGAGAAAGAATCCTATTTTTTATATTTCAAAGACAAAGAAATAAAAAGTTAAAAAGATTCTCTGTTATTACTGATTATTTGGAACAATAAATTGTTTAGAGCTATATTGTTCAATATAGTAGCAACTAGCAATATGTGGCTATTAGGTATTTGAAATATGACTAGTCCAAATTAAGATACACTGTAGGTATAAGATGTACACTGTATTTTGAGAATTTAATATGACAAAAAGAATGTCAAATACCTTATTAATAATGCAGCATATTGATGCATACTGAAGTGATATTTGGGATATATTGGTTTAAATAGATATATTTTAAACTTATATTTGCCTTTAAAAAACATTTTATTAATGAGGCTACTAGATCATTTAAATTTACCTGTGTGGCTTGTATTATATTTCTATTGGGCAGTGCTGATCTAGAGCAATTTGAAATGTGTGGTAGATATTTTACTAACCAACTCTGATGAAGGTCTTTTTCACCAAATTGGTCTTTTAACCACGTTTTTCCTTGCTTTCTGGTCATTTGCAAGAAAAATTTTAAAAGGCTCCCCCTTTGTAAAGGTTTGAGAGGCCCTAGAATTTCCTTTTTCACTTGTTCCCAACCACAAGCAAATGATCAATGTGCTTTGTGAATGAGGAGTCAACATTTTACCAGGGCAAAGGGGGGGAGGTGTGAAAAAATTTCCAGTCCTTGAACAGTGTGAAGTAAAAGTGCCTTCAAAGAATCCCACTAGAGTGGCACAGGTGGGCATAATGGGTCTGTCTCATCGTCAAAGGACCCAAGGAGTTGAAAGGAAACTCTAACTACAACACCAAAATGCCACAAAACCTTAGTTATTAATACAAACTAGCATCCCTGCCTATCTGTCACCATCTCATCTTAAAAAACGTGTGAAAATACGTAATCCTGAGGAGACTTCAATTAGGTATAAATACCAGCAGCCAAAGGAGGTACAGTACATTTTTCTGATCATCTGAAGATCAGCTATTAGAAGAGAAAGATCAGCCAAGTCCTTTGGACCTGATCAACTTGATACAAGAACTACTGATTTCAACTTCTTTGGCTTAGCTCTCTGCGAAACAATGAAATATACAAGTTATTTCTTGGCTTTTCAGCTCTGCATCGTTTTGGGTTCTCTTGGCTGTTACTGCCAGGACCCATATGTAAAAGAAGCAGAAAATCTGAAGAAATATTTTGTAAGTATGACTTTTTAATAGTACTTGCTTGTGGTTGAAAATGACTGAACATTGACTTGCTGTAGCATCTCTGATAGGCTGTGTTCTCTTGTATACAGTCATTCTGAGAAGATTTGGTGTTATTTTGTTAGTTATTGATTGGATGAGTTTCTTGATTAAATAATCTAGATATTGTTTTAACCTTCTGCTCAATTTGTATGAGACTTAAAAGAGATTTATGAATCTTCCAAAAGATAGGCATAATATGGGTATGAAATATAAACATGTTAATAATTTTGTAGTGAGAACTCATTCAGTTGTGATAAGTCAAGGAGTACACATATTGAAAAAATGATTGGCTATTTGTTTCTGACTTCTCAGACTCTAAGGTCAAGATTAGCATTAAAAAGGGTAATAGGTAATGTTTAAAATTAAAGTAAAGAGGGTGAGGTCCTTAAAGCTTTGGCTTTAAAAAAATCACTGATAGATGATTTTCTCCAAAAAGCGATTTCAGCATTTTGCTGCTCTATCTATATTACTTGTGAGTTATTCCTGAATTTAGTTGTTCACTGGAATTTTTTTAGAAATTATAATTCAGGCTAAGAAATGTTTAAAATTTTTAAGTGAGTTTTATGAGTTTCTTTTAAAATTTTATTTATGGTTAATGAAAACAGTTTTTACATTTTAAATATTTTATTATTTATTTAAAATTTAGCTATTATAATTGTTGCTGTCATAATAATGGTCAGGTACTCACAATCCATTTTGTTCTTATAACATGAAATCAAATCTTATATACACACATACACACAAGCACACATTTAGAACTATCTTTTAAGACTGACATCATAATACCCTACAGGAAGGCACAGTAGATGCTATAGAAACCTGCACCATTGGGGGGCAGTATTTTATAGTGGGGTGGCTTTGCTGTTTTTGTTTCTGTATTTTTTAGCTTAGTTTGAAAATACTTTCTTTAGTTTACTACAGTTTTTGGGACCCTTGGAGTATCATCAGCCTTGTTGAACTCATTTGTGACATTGCAATTTAACGGTTATATTGGGAAATACAAAAGCTAAAAGAGCATAACAGTCTTTGGCTATATCTCACATAAACCTTTTGTGAATACTTATTGTTAGAACTAAGCAGAAGATTTGAAAAGGAATATTGTCACAGCTGAGTTCAATGAAACTTGAAATATATTTTTAGGGGATCTATGGTTGTAAACCAGTTTTTTCTTTTCTTTTTTTTTCAGAATGCAGGTGATTCAGATGTAGCAGATAATGGAACTCTTTTCTTAAACATTTTGAGGACTTGGAGAGAGGTAAGCTGAACATTCTCATTTGGCTAATTTTCCTGTTGCTTGTTTTCTGATGGATAAATTCACATAATCCTCTCTTTGTGTTCTTTCCTTCCAAGGAGGGTGACAGAAAAATAATGCAGAGCCAGATTATCTCCTTTTACTTCAAACTTTTTAAAAACTTTAAAGACAACCAGAGCATCCAGAAGAGTATGGAGACCATCAAGGAAGACATGAATGTCAAGTTTTTCAACAGCAATAAAAGGAAACAGGATGACTTTGAAAGGCTGACTAATTATTCGGTGAGGCTTTTTAATTCGATCTTTCGTTTCACGGTGGAGGCTCTTGCAAGGCATGTATTCTCCAGAAAGTAGACAATAGCTATTTAACAGTTGCTAAAGCTATAAACTCAACCCATGGCTGAAACTCTTTCTTAGTAATTCCATTCGTGTTTGGGTGACTTTGCAAAGTCAGTATGGGAATCACTGAAGTGTGTAATGTAGAAAAATGCGGGCATTGTAACTATTGCATAAAGACAGGGGAATTGACAATTCCAGTGAAGAGGAAGCAGGTGAAGAAGGAGAGAAGTAAAGAAGAAGGAGAAGCAGAGAGGAGTACTGAGCAATTCTCTCATTGTTCCTTGCTCATATGATGGAAATTCTCTTGCTTTGAATGGGAGGCTGGCTGTCTTGATGGAAAGAGCGGTGGGAGGAGCTGAGAAGTTGTATGTTCTCCTCCCAACTCAGCCACTAAAAAACGGTGATGAATCACATAGCTGGCTGCGGCTCAGTTTCTTCATCTTAAGAGGAAACTGTTAGGTTCACTGCATGCATTTAGGTTCACTTCTTTGCTCCAAAACTCTATAATGCCAGGCATAGAAAATGAGAATGAGATAGAATAAAGCTACAGCCTTTGAGTAGGTACCAGGGCCATCCCGCAAGTCTCTAGCCAAACTTTTGGATTGTACAGCCCAATTCGAAGCAAGAATGTTTGCTGTTTGTTTGTTTTTTAGGGAAAAGTAGGTAGAATTTATACCTTATGAAAAGATTGTTCTATCAACTCTATCAAATTTCAGAATATCTTAGCTGGAGAAATCCTTAGACTTCTAACTCTTTCTTCATGAACTTGTCTTATATCTTTAAATTATAGCTTCTATAAACAGAAAGATAACTTTGAAGCATAAAGACAAATCATGTTTTTCAAAATTTTATCTGGAAGACAAAGGCCTCTAGATTCCTTTGGGGTTGGCTTTGATATAAATGAGCTCAAATGAGGGGGACCGGGGTCTTCAAGCTAGCATTTGTGCTCTTAGGATTTGTGCTCAGCTTTCACTATCACTTAGACTGCCTCTCACTCCTCTCATGTAAGCTCCCAGAAACTGAAAGGAGACATGGCAACAGGCAGCCTTTGGTTATAAACTAGACACTCAGCCCTTGTCCCTAACCCAGTGGTGCCCCTGGCTTACTTTTCAGTTCTGGATAGGTCTCTTAGTTTCTTGGTGATGATTTGAACATTGGAAAGTAAAATTAGTCACTTGCAAACACACAGCTCGTAGAAAACTTTTTCTACTCTGCGGGAACTGGGCCTTAAAAAAGTAAAAAAACGTCTGTCAGTTCCTTCCTTCTGGAAGCTCCAGAGCTCCTGCTTCTTGTTGGACAATCTTGAGTGAGCTCTATTAACTAGGGTCCTCTTTTGCTTACTTGCTAAGCTATTTTAGGCATGCTATGCCCTTTGATGATTAGTCCTGTAGCCTGTAATCCCCCAGCCACCCTCAGAAATGTAGTGAGGTAGCCATAGTGTTCCCAAGAATAGAAAAAATGTAATGGCAGAGTCAAGAGGAAAGCAAATGCTCACGTTTTAATGGCCCTATTGGTTAGAGTGAGGAAATTCAAGTAGTTTAATTTGCCGGCATAGAAAGCAGGGTACTGGAAAAGTTGTTGCAATTCCTAATTTTAAATTTTATATATCAGTAAGCCATATACATATGATTGGTGTTTATTTTAAAACCCATTATGGAAATTGAGAGACAGACCTAATTGGAGAGAAATTAAAAATTACAGTTTTCACTTGTTTTGGATTTGGTGTTTTCTAGGGTACCTAGCCTAGATTGGTGGTTCTCAAACTTAGGTGGATATCAGAATCACCTGGGGAGCTTAGTGAACGCACAGTCCTTCCACTTCATGCTCCTGGGTCTCTGAGATTTTTCTTAGGTTTCTAGATTAATCTGCTAGGCACAATAGTGAGAATCATTGACTTATAGTTAGTCTTTTGATACATACAGGAGATACTAAAGTATAAAGTGATATAATTGGTAGATTGATGACAGAGAGGTCATGGAAACAGTCTCCTCCTCCTTTAGATAAGAAAATAGAAGTTCAGTGACGTTAAGTGGCTGGCTGAAGGTCAGAATTATTGCATGCATGAGATTCAAACCTGCCTTTTTATATTCACTCCACACCCGGGCTCTTTTCACTACATAATTTCAAGAATTCTGGAGAAGTAGATTTAGGGATATGTGATGTACTCTCACACATTATAGCACAACTAGCAATGTAATTGTACTTTTTAGCCTTAACTGCTGAAGAAGTAAATATTGTATATTAAGGTAATACGGTTCTAGTCAGACCCCCTTCCATTTTATTTTTTAAAGGAATACTTCTGTTTTCACTGATCATCATGCCATTAACAGAATATTCTGATGGCTTATATGCCTGAAATTAATTTTTCTCTTTTCTTTCCCAATAGGTAACCGACTTGAATGTCCAGCGCAAAGCAATACATGAACTCATCCAAGTGATGGCTGAACTGTCACCAGCACCTAAAATAGGGAAGCGAAAAAGGAGTCAGACGCTGTTTCGAGGTCGAAGAGCGTCCCAATAATGGTGGTCCTGCCTGCAATATTTGATTTTTAAATCTAAATCTATTTATTAATATTTAACATTATTTATATGGGGAATATATTTTTAGACTCATCAATCAAAGAAGTATTTATAATAGCAACTTTCGTGTAATGAAAATGAGTATCTATTAATATATGTATTATTTATAATTCCTGTATCCTGTGACTGTTTCACTTAATCCTTTGTTTTCTGACTAATTAGGCAAGGCTATGTGATTACAAGGCTTTATCTCAGGGACCAATTAGGCAGCCAACCTAAGCAAGATCCCGTGGGTTGTATGTTTATTTTACTTGATGATACAATGAACACTTATAAGTAAAATGATACCATCCAGTTACTGCCTGTTTGAAAATATGCCTGCATTCTGAGCCACTGCTTTAATAGCATGTCAGACAGAACTTGAATGTGTCAGGTGACCCTGATGAAAACATAGCATCTCAGGAGACTTCATGCCTGGTGCTTCCAAATATTGTTGACAACTGTGACTGTACCCAAATGGAAAGTAACTTATTTGTTAAGATTATCAATATCTAATATATATGAATAAAGTGTTAAGTTCATAACTATGCTGTGTCAGATTTTTTCTAAGTGAAAACTGGAGTGAAAGAACTATTAATGAATTAGTAGGGAGAGGAGTCATCTTAGTTTTGGAAATTTTAGAGTTGCATTCGGTTCCATTAAATGTGGTGTTTCTTTCCACAAGCATTTTGTTGGCTTTCACTTTTCCAGTTGGCAGCTCGTTGAGTTATCTTTCTAAGATACAGATTTAATTATGTCACTATTTAATTCAGAGGTTCTGCTATGGAATGTAGTTTAAACTGCTTAGTTTGGCACACAGAGATTTATTTCTAACCCCTTCTCCACCTTCCTATTCCCTCCTTCATCTCAGAATCTTCCTCTCCCCCATCCAATGTTGGCAAGCACCACTGGGTGTGGAGTAGTGGGCGTAAGCTCTAGGGAGAAGGCTTGGATTAGAATCCAAGTTATGCCATTACAAGTGGTGTGACCTTTAATACATTATGTTTATTGTCTAAGCTTCAGTTTTATTGTCTGTAAAAGAAAAATAATTGTGTCTTCCTCATAATATTGTGGTAAGAATTGATTCTTTCATTCAAGAAATGTTTCTTGGAGTACCTACTATGTGCCTGGTGCTGTTCTAGATCCTTAAGATACCTTACTGAGCAAAACAGCCAAGGATCCCTGCCCCTGGGGAATTTGAAATTAAGGAAGGGACAGATAAACAATGAACAAAATACACAATATGTAAGTCTATTGCAAGGCATTCTCTAAGGTGATTGGTGTCATGGAAAAAAGTTAAAAGGAGAGCAGGACAGGGGAATTAGGAATCCTATGTGTGGTGGGGTGGGAGGGCTAGAGGTTTAAAAGAGTAATAATATGTGAACTCATTGAGGAGATGCTATTTGAGGAAGCACTTGTAAGAAGTAAAGGAAGTAGTTATTTGAATTCCAGGCCAGGGGTATATCCTTGCAAAGGCTCTGAAGTGGAGATTTTCCTCGAGTGATAGAAGAACCAGCAGACCAGTGTGCTGGGCTCAGAAGATGGGAGAGAAAGCCAGCCACATTTGAGAGGAATTCAGGGGAAGCAATGTCCTTAGGGGAGGGCCAGTTTATCTTTTGAGTGGAAGGAAGTTGAGGATATGATGGATTTGGTTAGTCCCAGGCTATAAATTCCAGAAGACTCAGTGAGGCAAGGTAAGAGAGGCAGTCATAAAAGGGAATGTGCATAGGGATGTGCTGGGAGTCTGAGACTTCTTACAATAACTGACTTAAACAAGATAATGGATATAGTGAGATTAATTCTAGTGACTTTGGAACATACAGTGGTGGCAAGATTGTGAATGTCAAGGATAGAGAAGGTTAGGTATCTGGGGATTCCTTATCAACAATTTCACATAACCCTCCAACAGCAATAGTAGGATTATGTGAAATACTTTCTGCAAAAGGATCATTTGAGTCACTGACAATAATCAGGGGTCATTATTTTGATTACGGGGTAACTAAGTGACAGGGGTGAGACCTGATTCTAAAACTTTTGAACCTTTGATGAAGCAAGATTGAAAGTAAATTGGGCTAATTTTGGCACAACTACAGCTAATATGATCTGCTGCTGGTGTCTCCACTCTTGTCACTATTAAGATTGATTGATGCAGACTCTGATATATAAACAGATGGAGGGCTACTGTGAACCACAGTTCCAGACCATACTTCTGGGGAAGGGATTGGAAATTCCCACTGTCAATCATCTTAAGCAGTGATTAATCATACCATGTAATGAAGCCACAGGAGATGAATTTTAGTCTAGGGCTGGGTGAAACATCTCCACTCCCTGAGTTTGGTCTCAGTTTGGCCCAGACTGTGAGACTGGAGAGATATAGACTGTATTAGGTGCTGCGATGATAGCAGGGGATGAGATAGGGAGAAAATCCTTTAAGAGAACTCGAGCTGAGACTGGCCTATGCAGTGGTTATCAATTACTCTCTATCTTGTATGTTTCTTCTCTTGTAAACACACATAGTTTCAGAAGTGTGATGAAGCTTGTAGGAGGGAAGGACCATGATTTAGACTAAGAGACCTTGGGGGTAGCAGTGATTCCTCTCCCAGTGCCAGCAGGGGCAGGTATCTCTCTAATCTTGTGGGCAGCTGTGGCAGCAGCCTGGGCTTGCAGTGGGAGAGCTCTTATTGTATAGACTCCCACCCTTAGTGACTTTCAGAAATTGCTGGCATATCCTTACTGGTGGGGCAAACCTTGGTGATTAAAACTTGAGCATGAAATGTCAAAGGAATTTCCTGTTCTTTCTCATCCTGTTCTCTTCATTCTTCTCTTCCTCTCATCCCATTTGAACAAGATTATTCTAAATCAATTAAGTGCATCAGAGTAAGGTAGACGTATGTAATTGCCCACTATGGGCAGTCAAATTCTGAGCACAGTGTGAAGAGAGAAAACCTGGTGTGGAAGGTGTCAGAACCTGAGCAGAATGACGAGAAGGTCCTTGAAGAGGCGGGTGAGCATATAAGTTTTCTGTTGCTTTGGTAATAAGTGACAAGTTGCTGAAAAAACCCACATATTTATTATCTTATCATTGTGGTGGGCATAAATCCAAAACCAGGCTCAGCTGGCTAAAATTGAGACAGGGCTTGTTCCTTCTGGAGACTCCAGGAGACAATCTGCTTCCTTGACTTTTCTAACTGCTGGAGGTTGCTGTCATTCCTGTTAGTGGCCTTTTCCTTTTCAAAAGCCAGCAGAACAGTATCTTTCAGGCTTTCTCATTCTCTCTGACTCTGATACTCCTGCTTTCCTCTTATAAGGACCCTCGTGATTTCATTAAGACCACTTGAATAATTCAGGAGAATGTCTCCAAGATTTTTAACTTAACCACATCTGAGAAATTTCTTTTGCCATATAAAGCAACAGTCCCAGATTCAGGGAATTAGGATATGGACATCTTTGGGGGTCCATTATGCAGTCTATCATAGGAAGCCAGCCTGGCATGGGTCCTCTGAACTTCAGCATAGCAAGGAGGTCTCCAAGTGAAAGAATGGCCTGGAGTTGGGTGTCAGAGTCCAGACAAGGTGAGGAGAGCATCTGTGTACTGGGATGGCCCAGCACAGGTGTTAGAGTGAAGTAACAATGGCATTTGCATAGGGGAAGACATATTAGGGCAGATGGGAAATTGACTAAGTAATTATATTAATGATAATGGTAACCATTTTCCTCAGTATTGAAGGAAGCTACGGTACAGAAAGGGAGAAAATTAGAATAAATCCTATGATATCAAATTAGAATTGGCTGTATCATATTAACTTATGCTCTTCAATATACAGAGGTAGATGTAGAAATAAATAATAGCTAGAAATATTAGTTCACCCTATCTCTGTCCACTGAGGGGGCCTGGGAGTACTAACATCCCAATAACAATGAGAACACAGATCACACATATCTTGACTTCTAAATACCATTCTCCACTAGAAGGAACCAGAACTCTTCGGAGAACTGGCTGATCCCAGAGTGTGGGTAGTGAAAATACATGGTGTACTAGAAAAAAAGAAGTATTCAGAGGATGATGGAGACATGTTAAAAGGCACAGAAACCGGCTTGAAGGGACTCCCACTGGCCAAATATGGGAAAATGTGAGCATCAAAATAAATAGTTACAGTAATGTATTATGACCTATTGAATAGGAAACCATAAGTATATATTGATATAAATGAATATACCAAAAATGTGGTGAGGAATGGTATACTCACATCATTGCAAAATATCTCCCTACAAAATATTTATTAATTACAAATTGTAAAGGAGTAATTTTATAGTAGAGAAGCTTAGTACACATCATCTTAATTAAGGAATAAAAGTGAACATTCTTAGTAATGAGATAAGTGAGAATGGTGTCCTACCCAGTAGGATGCAAGGAAATGAACACAGCATACCTTTTGTGATATCTCTGTGAAAGATGCATAACTTATTCCAGTCACGAGAAAACATATAAATGCAAACCGAGGAGCATTCTACAAAATCTCTTGTCTGTAGTCTTCAAAGTATCAAGGTCATATAATTAAGGGCAGACTAAGGACTGAAGAACCATTATGTTCTGAAATGAATTATGGAGACATGATGGCTAAATGCAATGCAAGTTTAAACTGGATCCTTGTCCAGTAGAAAGCATTTTTAGAATAACTGGTGAACTTGAATGAGGTCTGATGAAGAGACAATAGTAACATCAATTTAAACTTCCTGATTTTGAGGTTTGTATCATGGTTAAGCAAGACATGTCTTTGTGCGTAGGTAATGCACATTCAAGCATTCAGAAGTGAAGGGGCATCAGGATAGCCATTTACCCTGAGATGATTCAGGAAATATAAAGCTTTTCCAACTCTTCTGTCAGTTTGCAATTTCTTTCTTTTAAGACAGAGTCTGACTTTGTCACCCAGGCTAGAGTGCAGTGGTACAATCATGGCTCACTGTAACCTCCACTTCCTGGGCTCAAGTGATCCTCCCACCTCAGCCTCCTGAGTAGCTTGGACCACGGGCATGCCCACCATACCCAGCTAATTTTTTAAATTTTTTTTAATGTTTTGTAGCGATGGGGTTTCACCATGTTACCCAAGCTGGTCTTGAACTCCTGGGCTCAAGTGATTTCCCCACCTTAGACTCCCAAAGTCCTAGGATTATAGGCTCCCAGCCTGCAATTTTTTTTCCAAAATATAAATATGAAAAAGTCACTGTGAGATTATTTCAGAGTCATAGTCTGGTGAGGTCTAAAATTCTTGATAACTCAGAACTCCCCATATTTAACTTGCAACAAGGTGAAATTTCTAAAGATAATCACACCCATATATTCACCTCATCTCCATGCTCTTCTTGTAATGTCACTGACACTCCTCCGACTTAAAGATGAGGATATATTCCTCCCCTAAATACTAGGCAGGGGCTTGTGACTTTGCTTACCAGTGAAGTGAAATGGAAATGAAGTCACATCCTTTGACGTCTAGGGTGCAGCCTCTACCTGGCTTTTCTCCCCCTCTCAAGACCTTTGCCCTCAGAACC